CTGAGCTCAGTCTGATCGTCTGTGCGTCTCTCTGCACTGAGGAACAACAACAGGGTAGAGACTCATTCAACTACACCCACGTGTGTGTTTCATTCCAGAGCGTAGCTGTTTGTCTTCTTAAGACAGGTCAAAACATGTAAACTTTTAAGAAGCCAAGAACACAGAGTGTCCTTCAGTGGTGTAGTGTATATTCCACAGCAGCCACAGGCACAACTATGAGTTTGTTCTATTGGGATCTATCACGCATTAACACACAAAGGTGGACTCTCTTTGTATCTCAAGCTGTCGTTCAGCCTTTAGGACCCTTGATGATTTTCTTTTTTTGTTAATTTAATCAGAAATATTTAATTATGATGCTGTGAATCCTTTTAATAACAGAACAAAGTTTAAAACAGGCAAATCTTTTCTTTTCTCAAAGATATTTTTGTTTCCCCACCTTTTTTTGACTCTATGCACCAGCTGATGATCACTTACCTGTTCCTTATGCTTTAATGAAGCCACTACTAACCAGAGTGGTGGATCTTCACTGGATCGTTGAACTGCTAATAGTTAGCGTAACATGGCGCTGATGCTTGTTTTCTTGTTGCCGTCATGATCCGGGTGAGTTTCGGTGTTTTCCACAGAGTCAGCAGTTCCACCTCTGGGAGGGGCCATTCATTTCATCTGTTGACATATAACACCAGCACTCTCCACTCCTCTTCACCAGAGTCTCAGCTAACCAAAGTTAATGTAGGTCACAATAGTATTTGTGAGCCGCTTAAGTGAATTGCATTGTCTTACCTTGTGATACTCATTTATAGTAACTCTCCAGATGCAAACCTTCCCCAGAAAAGCTTCATTCAGAGGCAGGACTTCTAGACAGTTTTCTCAGCCATGGCTTTGCTCGCCCTACGCACCCGCCTGCCTCCCTGCCTCAGCTTCTGGAGTTCTGGATTCCTCCCCACTCGGACAATTCTCCCCTCCATGCTACTCCTCCACCTGCAGCAAGTAAGCATCAAAGGAACACTCTAAACCACAGTCAGCCAGCATTTTCCTGGAACAATACCTGAACTTATGTTATTTCCATATCAGGGAATCCCCATGAACCAGCCATCCAGTATGTCTACACCCTTTTTGGCCACAAAGTCATAGAAGTGTCATTTTCACTGTCCAAGTTTCTCTGATTGCTTTCATAGCTCAGGTTGCATATGTACTTCACAGTTTTGCATTATTCATAGTTTATGTTCATTCCCACAGTTCACGGTTTACTTGTCTTGTGCATTCACTTGTTTCTCTAAATAAATTTGGTTACTAAACGTTTACCAGTGCCTCCGTCCGAATCCTACATTTGAGTGCTTTTTCTCTGAGTCAGCCATAGGCCTGACAACTGCCTCTAGAAGCTGTCTCATTTTTATATGTGTGTGTGTGTGTCTGTGTGTGTGGGTATCTGTGAGTGTGTGTGGGTGCAGGCATCTGTCTGGACTCGTTTTTGTTCTGCACTACAGTACTGATTAAGAGCAGAAGAAAGAGACGGATGGTGAGTGGGGCGGGAGGGGGGTAACTGAGTTAGTAACTAAGTTACGTACAATATTAGGTTAAGGTTCAAAATATTGGGGATGGACACCAGAGGAAAAACCCACAATAACAACACTGGTCCGGTCGGGTTGAGTCAAACGATGATTTAATGATCACACACGTGGGAGATGGACACTGTATGCAGACAGCCTCAGATCTCATCTCAAAAAACACATCATCATAGTTTTATGAAATCAGGGTATTAGAACG